CTTCCCTATATGCTCTCCTCAGGCTCTTTCTCAGGCTTTTTATAGGAAAAATTGACCACTTGCTAATTGCTCCCCCCCCCCAAACCACCTGGCCTTTAAAGAGGCAAGCCACCCTTTCACAGCCAGATTAAAAGGTGCATTAGCATTAATTCGGTACCTTCATGTTCATGCATTATAAGGATATAATCTTGTACTTCCTTTTCTAGAGAATTCTTTCACCTACTTCCGTTTCTTTGGAGCATTTTAATTTCTTTTAACCGTTGAGAATTTAACACTAGTCTCTGTCTCTTAAAAAAGTAGCTTTTGGCTAAGGAATTCTTTGGTTATGATTATAGGATAGCCTCAGTATGACACAGGAGATTTTGGAACGTATACTGGTGTTCAAACCTTTAAAAACAGTGAAAGGTAGATGGAATATAACACCCCTGCTTCATTCATCAGCATCAGGGATCAAACCTGAAATTTCTTCATCTATAAAAACACAAGTCTCTCTTTACTAAGCAACAAGACTTGGCTTCAGTAGTTTAATGCCAGTAGCAAACTCATAAGCCTTTATGTGGTCCACCTTCTAGTGTTAAAATTCACATTTTATAAATGGGGTTTCTTTGGGATTGCATAACACTTGCATTGTTCCACTTCTGTTAACAGTACTCTCAGATATAATAGGCTTTTCATTCTCAATCAAAAGTAGATGCTGAGCCATTTTACTGTTAGAAAAAATAATATTGTTTGGGATGCAATTTTTTTCCTCACTGGTGTTAACAAATATGGTCTATGATCATGTTGTTGTGTGCTTCCAGCAAGAACTTTGCTTATTGCACGTGGTTAGTATGCTGCTTTCACTGTATGTAAAAGTAGAAATTACCTTTTTTACAAGAAACACTTGAAAGGTTTCTTTTGTAGTAGTATTTTATTATACAAGGTTAAATAGTCAATTTTAGAAACTGTAAACTGCATCACGAATACAGAAGTTCAAATGCTCCTTGTCCTATTCACTGTACTAAACAGCATTGTAAAGTAACTTGTATAGTACTAACTCACTAACCCTGAGTTTTCTGGCGCTCTTGGCCCCTTAAATTAGGAAACAGTAACTACTCACATTGCTAAGTTGTTACTATAATTTGGAAAGGTCACATAAAGCCTCTGATTTTCAAAGTGCATTTCTTATTGACAGGCAGCTCGAACATGGCACAGATTGGTTAAGGTAAAGCAGGAGGAAGGTGCAGATAATGCAGAGCTTCACCAGTTATGGAAGAGGATGATCCAGTTACTGGCAGACTGTACACAGAATCAAGATAATGAGACACAGCAGTTGGTAAAGTTTCTCACTTATGCTCTACACAACTCAGTTTGAATGGAAATTTCTGAAGTGCTTTTTAACTTTCAGTAATGTTCCTAGGGCTCAAAAGTGAATTTTGAAAATATTCCTCTTTGGCACATAATCACTTGGGGCCAGATCCAAAAAAGAACACCAATATCTTCAGTAGAATTTAGGTACCTCAGTCCAAATTTTGATTCTGAAAACTCTTGCTTAATTGTTGCCTAAACTGTGTTGCCACCTCAGTTTCCCACATTAAAAGTCTCCCAGTATCTAACTTTCTGCTTCTGTGCATGATTAGAAAGATCTCTGTCTTAATAGGGCTGCGATTTGGTCAGAGTGTATCTCATACCTAAAACTCTTTTGACTCTAGAAAAAGCATTGCCCTGCCATGACTCCTGAAGGGATCACTTCAGTAGGCATTCTGTATGCATGCCTGCCAGGTTGGGATCCAATGCTGTGATGGCACCTGCTTTCTTTAAAAATTCAACAGGTAGTGGTACCATTCCATCTCACCCCATCTAAACAATAACTTAGTAGTTACAGGCCTTGTCCAGGATGAGAGGGCCTAGGTAAACTGCTTTGTTCTCCCTGGAAGATTTAAACCCACATCTCTTACTTGCAGAGAGAGTACCCTAATGGGTAGCTCTGTAGTCACTTGGGGAGGGGGTGGGGAAAGAGAAAGGATTACTCCCATCACCTCTTGACATTCTTTTAATTAGCCAAAAAGAACTCATTGCATCAGCAAGATGGAGCATGATTCTCTAGGTTAGGATACCCGTCTTGTGTTGAAGAAAAGCAGCGAGTTTCAGTCCCCACTCTATAGGCTATTTATAGATTTTGTATCAAACATTCATTAGCTAAAATACATTAATAGTTCCTTTACTATGAGGTAAAGGCCCTAAACACTAGGTTAAGGAGTCATGTTCTCTCTTACTCCCTCTCTGGCTAAATAAATCTGGAATACTTTATTTTTGCAAAATGGAGCAGTTCCAGCAAGACAGGTGGCGAGAGTTCTAGCCTCATACTGTACCAGGGGTGCTCACCTCCAGCCCATGGAGCCACAGCATCCAACCCACAGACCTCCCCACAGGTTGGGAAATTTGGCAGTGGGGGAGCAGTGGCAGTGAATACCACCACCCTCCTTTTCTGCCAAACTCCCAAGCCCTATGGAGCCAGGCCATATCCTGTTCCCTCCACACAGCCAGACTGAAGCTGGGCCATGCCTTCTTTCTCCCGCAGACTGGAGCTTTGCCATGCCGACTGGAGGGACGACATGTAGGGGGTATGTGTAGGTATACATGTACCCCGTAGCAAGAGGTGCCACCAACAGTGTGGGTGGTCGCCGCTTGTTACCCCACTGCTGATGTCTGCGGACAGTCTGCGATTGCTGTTGGTTGCTGTTGACACTGCCAGCGGCGTCTGTGTGTGTTTGCCAACCCCTGGTCGGCGCTTGCCACTTCCCCCTGGGAGCTCCAGCTTACTGCTGCTGTGCTCCCGCAGCCACCGTGCCCCACCCAGCTACTGGGGGCACATGTCATTCATGCCGTGCCCCCTTTGTGTGGCTGGAGTGAGGCCAGGCCACACCTCCTTCTCTCTGCAGAGCTGGGCCATGTCCCATTCCCCACACATAGCAAGATCAGGGCCAAGCAACGTGCCCTTCTCCCCACAGGGCTGCATCAGGTGAGAGCCATGTCCTGTTCTCCACGTGCAGCTGTGTTGAGGTCGGGCCATCTATTTCTCCCCATGGAGCTGGGCCACAGCACCTTCTCCATGCACAGCAGGATCAGGATCACCAGCTGGATCCAGCCTGCAGACAGACAGGGCACTGTCCATCCTGCGTGCCAGCCAGAAAGGTTGAACATCACTGTACTAGATAGTGCATGTTCCAGGGAGGTAAAAGTAATAGGTGTAAATGGTCTGCATTAAGGTAGATGAGGGCCTTATTCTGGATTTATCACTTCTTGGCTGAGTGTTTTGCCTTCTGAGTAATTTTATGAAAAGGCATCTACCTCCAGGACAGGATTCTGAGCTGTGAATCTCAAATGGAGTAAGATATTTCAGTACAGGCTTTAATAAGGTACCCAAATCTTGGGGAGAGGTAAGATTAAAGATACAAATCTTTCCTCAGAATTTCCTTATGAGTAAAAGTAGGCAACTCTCTACTCCATGTGCTCATTCTTTCACATTATATTTTAAGATGCCTAAGTCTCCCTAGGTACTGTATGATGTATGTAATATGATTTTTGATTCTGCATCAGGGAGTAGGCCACTTAAAATTAGGATTGGCACAGGTAGGTGTAGTAGCATCTATGCTTTTTGGATTTTGGGCTATTTCCAAGACAGAACTTAAGGACTTACAAGGAGGTTTCTTGTGGCCAGATGTTATACTTTAAACATACATCTATACATAGTTGTGTGGATGTGTGGGAAGCAGGGCGTGTGTGTGTGTGTATTTATGTCTGTATATGTGTGTGCAGATGTGTGTGTATAGGGTATGTGTATGTAGATATGTAAAAGAAAAAAAGAGTTGTACCTATGATCAGTGCTAAGGTCCCATCTTAAAGGCACAAAAGCTAGGAGAGTCAAAATGACAACTAGCATAAAGATATTTAATACTTCTTTAAAACTGATGGCTTCCATGATAAATAGCATTTCACATTTGTTTAGTTTGCATATGTATTATATTAGTGCCTATATTAGATTATTTTAGTACTTTAGGTAGCATCTGTTGAAGTAGGTTGCTGTCTGAGAAAGCTCATGTCTCTCTGAACCAGTTAGTTTTCAAGGTACTAGTCTGCCCTACATCCTACCTGACTTCAGACTAACATGGCTTAACACCTCTGTACTTCAATGACTAGCAGTAGATTTACTACCGTTTGAACACTATGGCTCAAATCCAGTTCTCTTTTAAGTTGGTAAATAGCACTTTAATCATTAAAATTAGTCATGTAAGTGGTATTCTGGTCTTTCTGGCCTACAGATCTTCTCCTCTTGGCTAAACACTGGCTCAGCTTCAACAGGAGAGTGGAAGAGATTCTTAGCAATGCCTGACCCATGGCCTGATGTTTCAAGTACTTTTCTAGGAGGTGAGAGCTATAGGTTTAGATCAAAGTAGGGCATAAGACAGTAGTTCTCAACGTTTTTAGACTCAAGGCACACCTTGGAAAATGCCAGCTCTTAGCCTTGAGTCATTTTTTTGACTACAGAAAAATACTAGAGCAATTCTTCTGTTGCTGAGTTCAGAAAGATTACAGCAGATCAGAACATGTTTAATACTATAGATGCCTATTTGAAATCTCTGGGTTTATCTTGTGAATCGTGTAGGTGCTAATATTGTGCAGCAGACCTATAAGAATGTTACAGCACCCTGGTTGAGAATCACTGGCTTAGAACCCAGTTTTTCTATTCACTAGTTAAGTGCCCTAACCGCTAGGCTTTGGGGGTAAAACATAGGAGGTTTTTAGCCGCCTTTATTTTTTGCAGTTTATATGGAGTTATGCTTCTTCCTGGGGGCAATAGGATTTAAAATCCATGCAAGCGATCCAAAATGTCACTTACATGGCTCACTTCAGTCACCTAAGTGCTACTTACCAACCTAAAGATATAACTGGACTTGAGTGCATCGGAATACTGTTTAAAGAACCCTCTATTATGTATTTTTTCTCTTTTCATAGTATAACTGTTTTAGTATACATTATATCCTTCTGAAAAATGACTAAAGAATTTCATATGTTCAATATTTATTACATTTCATGCTTATTCATACTGCAGTACACTTACGGACTTCTTATTACAGCTTTTGACTGCATTTGAACATGCAGTGAACTCTGCAGACATGATTCCCAGTGAAGACCATCAAATTCTGTACAGAGATTTCATTCAGTGTTTGTCAAAAGTAAGGCCACTAGTACTTGTATTCTTTTTTAGTAACCCAAAAAATAATCTTTTCCTGTTTAGTAACATGTGGATAGCTAAATAAGCTGTTTCTGTCTTTTTTCCTTTCAAGTTTCCTCATGAAACAACTAGGTTGAAGAAGGCCTGTGATGACATGATGGTTTTGTATCCTACCTTGAGTTATCCTTTAGAAGTACTTTGCTTGCACTTTATTCAGTCAGGTGAGTAGGATGTTTTTGGTTTATTTCTGTTACTATTACAAATTTTGCCTCTTGGTTCTGTACCCATTCTCCCTTTTGTCCCATCATGTCTCACAACAGAACTAACCCTTCATGGTCTATTCCTTCAGTTGGCTGATGGAATATGCTGTTAGAGACAGTTTGCACCATTTTCCATTTGAGGATATCATTTCAATTAGATGTTATGTTTCCACCGACCTGGAGAGGAGGAAAGTAGTTCTGACCTAAAGTACAGTGTCTCAGGGCTGTGAAACTTGGTGCTGTTGTACTATGAAGTGACTTTTTTAAAAAAGTAATATTTTATTACATCTGGTTTTGGTATAATGATTTTTTAGTTTGCAGCATACAAAATCTTATTTGGGGTAGTGCTTTGCAAAGCCCAAAAACAGCCTCCCCAAAAATATGACTAGTTTCATGAGCATGAAGATAATCCTGTTAGCCTATCTTTGGTAGAAAGGTTAATGACAGTTAAAGCTCTGGATAAAGGCAAAGTCAGGTGATTTGTGACCCAGAAAATACCTTTCATTTGGTAGGAGGGTTATGAATCTTTCTCTGAAAGATTTGCAAGTGCCGGCAAAATAAAATGGGTATTTGAATGAAATAGGGAAAGGGCCACATTTTTGTTTATGCTTTTTGAGGACAGCATGCTGTCTTTGCTAGCGCTAGGATTTTAAAATGTACATAATCATTTTTCAGTAGTCACTATAGAATTAATATTGCACTTGTACTGGAGGTCAGGGCTTACGTTTTCAAAAGTGACTAGTGATTTTTCCACTATTTTTAGGTACCACCGTTGATAATTTAAAAAGACCAGAACTGACTTTAAAGTTAACCAGTCAAAATTATTTTTAAACATGGTCTTTATAACCGCGAGCCACATAAAACTCAGAAACATGTGTTCTAGAGCTACACAGAAGTTCCTGTGCTTTTCAGATATGAAAGCTAAATAATCCCGATTTGTGTCCAGTGAGGTAGACTGCGTGAAAGAAATAATAGAGAAGTCTTAATTTCAGTGTTTATCCTAATTGAGGGAAACCAGAAAGACAAATCAAATCTGAATAATGCCTTTGTCAGAAGTAATAGTACACAGTTTTAGGACATATCACAACAAAACAGCATAAAAGCACTACATTGATTTCTCTTTGTGAGAGTCCTTTATTATTTCCAGCTTCCTTTATATTCTGACCAATCTTACTAAAATGAACCTTAATTATCCCATTACTGATTCCCCATCAACTCTTGCAGCTCTCAGTGTTGCTTTTCTTGTGGGGTCAGGGCCCAGAATTCCATACTTAACTAGCATATCAGAGCTATTGAAGTTATTTCCTAATACTGGAGCTGCAGATTTTATGGCATGCGTTCACATCCGCTGCTTTTTTATATAAAGTGTTATTGCCCACACTGCGAAGATCAGAAAATATAATGTGTATGTTGACACAGAAGATAAACATATTTTCCAAGTATTATTGGTTTGTTTTTACTTACCTTTTCTAAATGTTAAACAACAAGGAGTTCTAATTAAATAAGTATAAAAAAACTTATCCCAAAATTTTGAAGATGTGAACTTTAAAGATAAAGCTCCTTAATTTCTATTTAAACCTCTAAATATATGGCCCTAAGGTAACCTATACTGTCATTCCACCTCAGAATTGAGGGAGCATAAAATATGACTTAAGACTATTTTTTCCTTGTCTTCTGAGCTCTGCCAAACAGCCCAGAAATAGGGCTGGAGTACTGAACCCAAAGAAATAGGAAAATAGTTATATCTATTTACAGTTATAGAAGTTTAAAATTTTTGACCTAGCAGTAGAACCTTTCCAATTTATCTTCTCTTTTCTGATGGCAGGATGCTATAACTTTTTGTATATATTTATACACGTGTGTGCATGTACATAAAATACACACATACATGCACACTTGCAGAATTAACACCGGTCAAATGCGCCTACTGTCTTCACTGACAATGTAACACTTTGGCATCTGAAACTGAATGAACTGTAGAAAACTTCTGGAAGAGTAAATTTTTCTGATCTGTTGTTGCTTCATGAAATAAAAATGGTTCTCCTATGAATTAATAACTTCATTATTCCATGAACATTTGCAGAAATGCCCAGTAGCCTGAAAACTTTCAGCCTAGAAGGTTGAATTGAAATTCATTTGGGGAAAATTAAAGCAGCATGACCTTATTAGTAAAATATAATCCTTCAGGTAATTTGTTGATTGCCCACAGATTTGTTGGCATAGTTTTCCAGTTTTAATTGCAAGGTTATTTTTTCCACATTAAACAGCTTCGTTAATGTTAATAAGTTCAATTATATTTGTAAGGAATGTTTGCAATCACGTTTACAAAGCTGCAGCTTTGTTTAGAATGGGGACGTCAAACAGATGGCCCACGGGCTAGGTTCAGTGCACAGAGCCTCTCTATCTAGTGCACCAAGCTATCAATTGGAGGACATTAGAAGCTGGCCTTTGGGCCCTATTGGGCATGGCTATTGGCAGTAGTTTGCTAACGTGGAATAGAAACAAGGGAAGATCAGTCTGGATAGACCCTGGATTATATAGATACTCTTCTCTTCAGCATCCACTGGGCCCCTATGAAATAAAGGTTAAAGGGTTAGATGGACCTGTGGTCTGACACAGTACAGCACTTCTACCTATAAGTATTAGTTTAAGTATTAAAGACCTATTCTTGTATGTAAAGGACTGCATTTGTAAAATATGAGAGTTTTCACACAAACTTATTTGATTTAACTGTACTGTCCAGTCTGTACACAGCTTGAGGATTGTTCCAGCAGCTGATATATCACACAGCATGTAATGTTTCACATTACATTAATGTATGCAAGTCATGTTCATTTGACCTAAGTCGTCTTGATTACCTAGCAAGGTGTCTTGCCTGCAGCTTATGAAGGGTTGACAATAACCTTGCCCACCCCTATAATAATGGGGAAGAATGGAATGGGCAGGTTGGTACTAGATCAAATGATCAGCTCTCCTGTACCCATTAATTTTATACGGGGAGAAAAAGGTACCTTTTCCCCTTTCCATGTGTAGATAGAGGAGTGGAACGTTCATTTTTGTAAAGATTCCTGAGTGGACTTCTTGAAATAACGGCCTCTGCTGTTTCTCCTTTGTTTCTGATTCAGTAAAGACCTGTGTTTCACCAATCTGTGTATTACTTCATGTGTTTTACAAGTGTTTGAATTGAAATGTGTCTGCTATGAGATCATCTAAGTTACTCTCTTCTACTTTAATTTCTAATTAGCAAGTGTTTATGTATCTCAGTCCTTTTCCTCTGGCATTTCCATGTTTATAGAGTCTTCTAAGATCATCAGGCATGAACTTTCAGTTAGGTGTTTTGAAAGGGGAAGGGAGTAAGTTCAAGAGGCTGAATCCTAGCTGACCTAAAAAAAGCAACACAAAACATTGAAAACTGCAGTCAAGGCAAGAAAATCATAATTTTGACTTTTCTCTATGCCATGACTGCTTATCCCTAGTTTAAAGTCTGCTGAAAGACAGTTTTCTTGGTGTATGGGTGGTCTTATTCAAAGGTAACGGCTTCATGTTGCAAAAGACCATGTTTGAAGTCTGGTCTAAGTCCAGCAGTGAGAGAGAACCTATCTGTATCTAGTAGCTAAAAAATAAACATTTTTGTTTGAAATATTAGTTCTGTTCTTGCAAATCATAACTGCTAGAGTACCAAATCACAAGCCTTTATTATAAGAAATTATGCAGGTGTCTGATAAGTAAAGACCAGAATTAAGCTTGAAATTAAGATGAGTGAGGATCATGTGTTAAGGGAAAAGCCCTAACCAGTCATAATTACAAATGGCTTTTCCCCCAAAGAGTAGGAGTTATTACAAGGCATCATTTTTCTGCATGTACTTTGTGAGTCCTACCCCTTTTCACAGTCCATATCAATAAGAAAGCCTGGATTTTGAAAATGTATTGCTATGTATTAATATACAGAGTTGCTATAGCTAGACCACAGTGCTTTAAATGATCTGTTTCTTTATTATACGATTCCGTCAACCCACCGGTAATGTTTTTCACCTTTGGCCATAAGCAAATTAAAGTTAACTGTTACACGAAAGAAAGATATCCCTAATTCTCCAAAGATAAAGGTTAAAGATAATTTTAAGTCTAATGGTGTGAGCATTATCAACTTCTCTAAACAAGAAGTATTCAATCTACAGGCAGAACTAAATGTAAGTGTAATGGGTACAATGTTTTGTCAGCAGTTAGAAGAGAATGTGTGATCTAATTTTCTCAATCTCCTTCTGCAGCTGATTGCAAGATTCATTACAGTGAACTTGTGGAACAGGCAAAGTTCTTTCAGGGAAGAGTTAATTTTGACTAATTCAGGGGCAGGTCTTTGTGAGATCTTCAGCTGGGCTAAGATGACAATCAGCCAGGAGGTATTTCCCTTGATGAGGGTGTGTACCTTTAGTAGTTTAATATAAGTGGATAAATCCAGCATCTACATGCGTAACATTTTTGGCACATGGCTTGATGGTGCTAAGCAGCAGTTTCTTCAGTTGGTATATAACACTGCTGGGAAAAAAAATAGCTGCTGTATGTTAGAAAGCTGCTACTAAAAACTCAGCTGCTTTTAAGTTTGAGAACTAGATCTGAAGTAAATTGATTTCTTTATGCATCTCTTGAGTTAAATATATTAAAGCTTTTTGTTGTCTATAGCTTTTATCAAACTGCAGTTATGAGAAATTGTTTCTCTTTATTATACTAGGTACTGTCACTGAAGAAGCCCTGCATTTCTGTTGCAGGCTTATGGAAATGGACTCAAGCAGTGGCCCTGGCTTTATTGGTTTGGGCATCAAATCCCTCCAAGAAAAAAAATATGAAGAGGCTGCCAAGCATTTGTCTGAAGGTAAATGTATAATACAACTAAGATAACTATTTGTATTGTGTGCAATGGTTAATTTGTATGGGTCACCTTTAAAGTATTGAATGGAAAGTAAAATTGGTTAATTATCTTCTAAATCAGCCAGGCAAGATGCATTTTTAAAAGATGTTGACAACTTGAAATCTAACCAATAACAAAAAAAAAAGTTGAGTAACTTTGTGTACTATGTTCAACTTAAGTTTCCCTTTCGATTCTGTGATTAATCTCTAACAGTATTTTCTTAATTTTTCAACTTGCTGGGGTGTTTTTTTTTTCTTCTTCTGAACTGTTGTTTAAAGTTCTACACAAATAAAAAGCAAAGGGAACGTGATTCTTTTTCCCCTCATCAAGGGCAGGTGCAGCTATAACGAACATCTTCCTAATCTTTCAGTTGTACTCTGGCAGCATGGAATACAACTGATTATGAGGAAACTGAACAGGGATGTTTTTTTCTTTTCAAGTTAACAACATCCCTTTTTAAAAGAGAACTTTCTTTTACAGTTTTACACTAAATATTCTTTATTGTGGGCATCTGAAAACCAGCCTAGAGTTCTTTTACAGCAGCTATAATTACTGCAGTATTCTATATTAACCATTGAGGATTTGACTGTAGTTTGCTTATAATGAGATATGACACGGTTCTTTTTAAAATAGTCTATGTGTAGAACTGGTTGGCAAACAAGAGTGGGTTCTTGGTTTTGTTTTTTGTCTCATTTATTATTTTTTTTTCAGAAGTGAATTAAAATGTCAGAACTCAGCTAGTATTGCAGGGTTGTCTCCTGGGCACTGTAGGTCAACCCACCTTTGTGGGTTGGGCTCTCCAATCAGAGTGTATCCCAGGACACATGGCTACTCCTTATCAAGAAGAAGTCACAATGTATGATGATGAAGTCTGGCTGGGGAGATGAGGCACCACAATAGAATGTATAAATTGAAATATTTCATATTTTTGGCCACTATACCTTTAAGTGTTTAGACATTTCAGCTTTTAATGAAAGATCAATTTCGAAAAGCAAACACTCTTTTTTAAAAACCTTATTTAAAAACACTTATATGTTAGACATGTCTTGACAGCATTCATTCATTCCTGTTCATAAACACAGATTTCAGATTTATTTAGTATAGCTTGTTCATAAACCCTTTTCTCTCCATATACCTTATTTGCTTCTGCTAAACCTGAACCTACCTATATGATGTGAAAGGAGCAAATACTGTGTATTCTGTTAATTTTATGTACCTCTGATCATTGAGGCCAAAATGGAAGATAAGGCTGTGGCCCAGTAAGGACTACTGAATCTGCTAGTGGTGGATACAACGTGCGTTCTTTTTCGCAGAACATGCAAGATGCTCCATTTTTAAGTAAAGGATAGGATAAAATTTCCATTTACAAATAAGTTTTTAATTGTCCTCAGAGCCCAAAGTTCTCCTTTCTTTTTTTGCGTCAGTGTACAACAAGGTACTTTGCAGAATTTGCAGATTTGTCGGAATCTGCCAGGGCCATACTGCGAGCGTTTCTGCTGAGGCTTCAAACTGGGCTGTCAACTATGCTCCTTAGTGTCTGTACTACCCCTGGCCAAAGCTGACTCCTTAGATGGGTAGACATATATGACTGGCATTAGCCAAGATAACTGGTATTTAGAGCCACTTCCATAAAATATTTACATCCTACTTGCCCTTCTTAGTGTGAGATCCTCTCCAGCCACTTAGGCTCCATGGTGATCTTGTCCCATCCGGAAAGGCATGTGATTCTTTTTAAGTCCTTGAAAAAAGAAAAAAAACAAAACACTAGTTCCTGTTGGAAAGAAGAGGAACTGTTTTGTTTTGTATTAACTGTACTGTATTAGTTTCTGCAGATCTTCTGTTGACAAAGACCCAAGGAGAAGTTTTCAAAACAGTCTAAGGGATGTTGATGTCCCTCTGCTGTTTAAATGGAAACTCTTTTGTTTTGCTTCTTGAGCATTCAAGATGCATGCATCTCTAAACTAGTGTGCGTAACTCCTCATGTTTCTCCCTCTTTGTTGATTTACTGACGGTGGATAGACACTGTGAGCTTGGCATAGTAGTGAAACTTACACTTTTACCTCCATATTAACTTAACCCTTCCTGTAAGCATCAAGACAATATCATAAACTTGGCCTCAAATGAAGAACTGTCTTTTGAGTTTTATATCATTTTGCATGATGTTTTGTGGTGGTGCACATGGGATAGAATTCTGCCAGCCTTCCAACAGCCACGAAATCTGTTTTGCATCCTCAAGTTTTATTTTAAACCAACTTTAATTTTGAAAACTAGGTTTGCAGAAGACCAGCCAGTGTCCAGCAGCATGGTATTATCTGGCAGAGGCACAAATGAAAATGCAAAAATACAAAGAAGCTGTGTTTTCCTGCAATCATGGTAATTATTTTTTTTCTTTCCCAAAAGAACCTATACAGAGAAGGATAAAGCAATATCTAATTGACTGTATTTACATGGCTTACCTCTTAAAGGTGATTTGATCTCTACAGGTGTATGTTGTCTTGATCTTGTTAGATGAGAGGCTGTTGTTTATTGGCACAAATACTGGTAACAAGTTAAACGTTGCTTTCAATTGTAACATATACGTTTTCTCTAAACAAGAAAAGGGAAAGCTAATCTCTCATATTAGAAGGTTCAAATACTATGAAATAAATAAAAATTAATTTTACAAGTGTATCAAAACTCAAACTACTGTTTCCAGTGTGTTCAGTATACCTGAGGGCTGCTAGCATAAAGTTTGTTTCTCTTTCAGCCAATTGGTTTTATCATCTTCTGAAAAAGTCTTTAGTTAAAAAATAATTATTATTTTTTTCTTTTTCTTATGGAAGAAGAGAGCCTTAATTTAAACTTAAAATGAAAAATGCGGTTCTAGTAATGTTCAAATTCTGTCAGAAACTAATAGGCTTAACAATGTCAAGTTAATTGTATCATTTTAAAGCTAGCTTAGAACTAGAATAAAAGCTGCGCTTTTTTTTTTTTTTTTTTTTTAAACAGCTCTTAAGATGTTAGAACAGCTCGGCGATCCTGATGCCCTTCTTGAGCAGAAAAATCTTGCACTTCGTTTGAAAGTAGAGGCTTTGGTTAAAACGCTAGATGCTGACATGGCAGAAGACGCCATTAGTACTCTTGAGCAGGTATTGGTTTTAACTGATACATTAAAAGAAAAAATCGGGTTCCCTTCCTGTTGCATTTGGGACCCAAAAGTTGTGGGTCTCTTTCCCTCCTACTTTTATTCCACATTCAGAAACTCTGCTATAAAGAAAATATTTGCTATAGTGTTTTTTCTTTGTGTCTTCCTCACCTTCCACCTCCCTGTTTCTCGTTCCTTGTCACATCTATTTTAATCACTTGATGGTCACTTCTGTGCAACTCCTCGCTTGATCCTTTGATGTATCCATTCTTGCTGCTTAGTCTTCTGGCTTCTCTTGAAGCTGATCTCTTTCCTCTAGCTCACTTCAGGGACAGACATTTACACACAAACTGGTATAAGTGATCTGAAACTGGTTTAAATCAGTAACATAACGAAAGTTCAGTGCACATAAACCACTTCTAAAAGGGATGAAAACTTTTTAAGATAAACCTAGATGGATGTAGTATTAGGTAAGCTGATTTAAGTTAAATAGGTTTGTTGAACTTTTGTACCCTATCCTCTCCAGATTTAAGTTAAGTCCCCGAGCATCCTAGGATGCTTTGCATCCTCCCTGCAAACACCTGCTTGCAGGGTGTGTGGGCAGGCTAGCCCTGGCCCAAGCTATCTGCTCCAGCCAAGCAAGCAGGTATGCTCTAGCACTCCCCAGCTTCTGGCGTGGGCTGCTGCAGGCATGTGGCAGCATGAGGCGTTCCTGGAATTAAAAGTGAATGTTTGTTCACTTGCTTATCAGTTCAGTCTGTGCAGCTTAGACTAACCTGCAAAGATTGAATCATTTCCTCGGGCTTTCTGACTGTCCGTACTTAGCCTTCAAGTCAGAAACGTCCTGAAGGGGTTTTTTTTTTCTCTCTCTCGTCTGTTTACAGTGACAGATATAGAAAGGACCAGATATGAGACAGGTGCTGCATTTTCCACTTTTTTTTCTCTCTCTCTCGCTCTCCTTTTTGTCTTGCATTTTAATGTATGCTGTTTTTACTTGGGTCCTAAATTTCCCCTCCAGCTCTCTTTCAGGCTCTCTTCACCCTGCAGAAACCATCGTTCTAAACCGGGGAAACTTTTTCCTTATTTTTTGGTCTGGTTCTGACACTGAAATTTGCTCATTTTGTGTTTTGGTGACTCTGCCCTCCTCTTCATCCATAAATTGTTTTCTCCTCATCCTGCCCTCTTATCTAACAATTTCTTTATTCTTCCCATCCCCCAGGCCTGCAGCCTCAGTATAATCTTAGATTTTTTTTTTCATTCCCCACTCCCATATCAAGTGTTTTGTTAAATATTTCTGTGTTCTTCAAATTTTAAGTGCTCTTTTTGGGTTGTAAACATGCTTTTACAATATAGTAACACTATATGTGTACAGTAGAGCAAAAGCTGTGTTTTAATATAAATGCATTTAAAGATCTTGGTACCAGTATTTTGTCTGTAAATGGTCATCTGCCTCTTGTATTTGCAAACCAGTCACTTTCATTATTTTTTATGGTGAACAAAGAAGTCTGGCAGATGGATAATGTTATGTAATAGAAATCTCATGGGCCTTGTTTCACAAGGCAAACTGTTTAGAAGGGGGAAAGCACTCTGGGAACTTTTTTGCTCTGGGGAATTTTTGCAGGGGGAACTCGAGCTGTTGGTAGGGGCCATCATTCAACCCCCTGCCTCCCCTTAATTTCCTCCACTAGACTACCAATAAGAAATTTATCTCTGAGCTCACCATCGTGTCAGCTGGGATCCCCCCTGAGTAAAAGAGATGCTCTCTTCACTCTTGTGCAGACCTACGTCTATACAAAGTATGGGGAGCATTCACACAGGACTCAATCCTTCCCAGGACATAGGAAGCCCTGCCACTTCTGCCCAGCCAGCCTTTACACAAAGGTGACTCTGTGAAGGGAGGGGGAGGTGGAAGCAGAAGCAGCAGGACTCCAACCTTTCCAAGATGCCTGGGACACAGCTGTGCCATTCTCCAACCATTCCAGGACCGCCAGAACACTGGGAGCCCATTTACTTCTGCCTCCAACTCTCCCTCCTCCTTTGTGCAGAGCTGGAAGGAAAGAAGGAAGGAGAGTAGCAGAGTAAAGACACTGGGCTTGAGAAAAGAAGGTATGAACAAACTTGGGGAACTGGTAGGCAGGATCCCCTGGGAGGCAAGTCCCAGGGGAAAAGTTGTCCAGGAGAGCTACCTGTATTTTATGGAAGCTTTATTAAGGATGCAAGAGAAAGCTATTCCAGTGTGACAGAAGAATGGGAAATGTAATAGGAGACTAGCATGCCTAGACAGCAATCTCTTCAGTGAGCTGAAATTAAAAAAAAGAATCCTACTAAAAGTAGGAACTTGGTCAAATTAGTAGGAAGGAGCATAAAAGTATCTCGCGGGTGAGCAGGGAGAAAATTTGGAAGCCCAGGACATGATTTAAGGTGCAACTGGCAAGTGGCATAAGGCAATAAAAAAGGATTCTACAATAATGTCAAATGTAAGAAGACTAAAGAAACCATAGACCCTTTACAAAATGCAGATGGAAATCTAGTTACAGGTGATGCAGAGAAGATGGAAGTATTTAATGCATTTTTTTACTTCAGCTTTCATAAATGGGGTTAGCTACCAGAAGACAAGTACAGTTGGCAGCAAAGATGAGGAAGAAGAAAAATAGACTAAAGTGGTAGAAGAACAGGTTAGGGATTACTTGTACAAACCGGAAGCTTTCATGCTATCAGGGTCAGATGAGATGCAACCTGTGGTACTGAAGGAGTTGGCTGAAGTAATTTTGGAGCCATTGGCTCTATCCTCTTTTAAGAACGTAGGGAGGTCAGGTGAGGTCCTGGATGACTGAAAAATGACAAACCTCTCTTCTTTTTTCCCCCTCATCTTTGATTGGGGGGGGGAGAGGATTTACAGAATTACAGATGAATCAGTCTAACCTTGATACCTGGAGAGATCAAGGAGCAAGCCCTCAAGGAATCTATTGAAAAGAACAGGTCAGCATTTAGAAAATATCAGGAACAGCGTCCATGGATTCAGCAAGAGCAAGTCATGCCTGACCAATCTAATTTCCTTCTATGAGAAGGTGACAAGCTCAGTGGAAATAGGACTTGATTTTTAGCAAGGCTTTTGACAGTCTCCTGCAACACTTCATTAACAAATCAAGAAATACAGACTGGATGAAAGGACTATAAGGGGAATATATAACTGGTTGGATTATCGCATTCAACAATGATGATGCAGTGTAGAGTTAGGAGGTGTCCAGGGGGGTTCCCAGTATTGTTAGCCATCTTCATTAATGATTTGGACAGAGGGGTTAAGTGCATGTTTGGCAAATTTGTGAATAACACCAAATTGTACGGAGATGCAGACACTCTGGAGGGTAAGGCTAGGGTTCACAATGACCTGGGTAGATTGGAGAAATGGTCCACAGCCAGTCAGATGAAAATCAACAAGGACAAATGTACAGTAATGTACTTAGGACAGATTCATTCCATGCACAAATACAAAGTGGGGAATGACTGGCTGGGCTGCAGTACTGCAGAGAAGGACATGGCGGGAGGCGGAAAGTGGGCAACAGTAGATCATAAGCTGAATATGAGCCGACAGTGTGCTTTTGCTGCCAAAAAAAAGACAACTTCATACTGGGTTGTATTAACAAGAGTGTAACTTGCAAATCAAGGGAAGGGATTCTTCCACTAGATTCAGCACTGGTGAGGCCTCACCTGGTGTACTGTGTCCAGTTTTGGGCCCTGCACTTCAAGAAATATGTGGACAGAATGGAAGGAGTCCAGAAGGGAGTGACAACAATGATAGAGGTCGGGAAAGCAAGACTTATGAGGAAAAGTTGGTAGAGAGTTATCTTGTTTGGAGAAGAGAAGAAGAGACTGGAGCATTTGATAGTCCTTCAGATATCTGAAGGACAACTATGAAGCAGATAGACTATTCTTTGTGGCTGTATGGGACAGGACTAGAAGCAGTATCGTCAAGCTGTAGCAGAGTAGGTTGGAGACTAGAAAGAATTTTGACTATGAGGATGGTTAAGGAGTGGAACAGGCTCCCTGGAGCAGTCATGGACTCTGCATTGCTGGAAATTTTCAAGAGCAGATTGGATAGATACTTGGCTGAAATGGTTTACTTTGCTGTGATGCTAAAGGGAAGGTGGGAGTGGGCAGAAGTGCTCAGGCTCCAACCCCCTCTCTCTTTGGGATACCCTGAATATTGAGAGCCCCACTGCTTCTGTCCTTAACACCTAACTGGATCAAATTCATGCAAGAACAGGAGAAGAAGTGATAGGGCTGCAACCCTCCCAAGATACCCCAGACACAGCTCCATGTGAAGAGCTTGTGGGGGGAGAGGGAGCAGGAGGAGCAGAGGGCATAGTACTAATGTTCCAGGGCAGGGAAACATGCTCTTCCTCCCGCATGCTACCTGTGCAGGGTTGGAATGTCCTGCTGCTATAGCAGTGGCTGGGGAAAAGCCACTTCAGATACATCCTCCCCAGGTGGCCTAGGGCAGAGAGAATGTGCCCCCTTGCTGCTTCCAGGCCTATATTGACCTAATGCTGAAGCAGGGGTGAGAGGCATTCACTTCGCAGAGAACTGAAGAGAATAGTAAAGGATTGGGCACTGTCTTGGGGCAGTAGCCAGGCCAGTGAGCACAGCTCCTATTCATCTGCTGGGATGAGAGAGTGAAGAGCGTTTTCCCCCTCACCCGCACAGGCAGCTGGGAGCTTCTATAACCCAGGTTTTTCCTTGGGTTTCAGTGTAGGGGAGGGGGAAGGGGTAGGCAGTATTCTTCAGGATGCTGGAGGACAAGGGAGAGTCCTATTTCTTGATGTGTAATATGCCACATTCATATTAAAGTGCATTACAAGCCAGCCACAAAGATGTTCTTTGTTCACCATTTTGTCTGGTTGGCCATTTTTTTATCGTGTAGTAAATGACTTACATGGTAAGATTGCTGTGGTCTCTTCAACCCTCTTATTTCTGTGGTTTTATTTTAACCAGGGCTCTCCATTAGTACCATCTTTCATGTGCAGTTAGTCAGCCTTATTTCACATGTATTGTAACTACCTTTCCTTCTCTCTTGCCCAAACTAAATTATATTTATAGTTTGATAAGTGATTACTGTCAAGATGCATGCAGAGCTATTCTATGTAACTGTCATTTTTGTCTACTGAATCTTTTTCCATTTTCCTACATGGAAATACTCAACATGGCTGAATACTTTCCGGCTAAACTATATAAAATCTTTTCTTAGTATGTTTCCTGTAGTTCTTCACAGCCCTATCTAACTTTTGTTCTAAGCTGTTTTGGTAATGCGTTGAGTCATCAATATCACTTAAATGTTTAACTGCTTTTTCCTGATTATTTTTTTTTTTAATTTGATACAGCTTCCTTTTTAAGACTATTTAATGGGAAATTGCTTGTTCGGTATTCTTAACTTTTGCCTTCAAAAGTGTATCGTAAAGCACAATATACTACAGAAAATTGAAGCAATTCTGCACATGTGAACTCAGCATCTTAAGCTATTTAGGACTTCCTTTGGAGAGGTCTATTAGGTTTAATAGTGGCTAATCTGCAGCATTTACCTGAAGGTGTTCTGTTTTGTTTTTGTTGGAGTTTGACCAAAATAAAATCTGCTCAGTTGTGAAACCCAATGGCATACAGTACATTTGAATTAATAGTACAAAACATTTGCCTTAGAATATGTACAACTCTTCAATTATCATTTGCAACAAATTTTTATTTTCTATACCTGAAGGTATTTTAAGTCTTAAACGCCTTTTTTGTTTTATGTGCTGTAGCACACTCTTTTGGATACTGAGATATATCAGTAAAGCAAAGGAAACTTTTTTTTTCCAGTGATGCCCAGGAACCCAAAGTAAGCCCCTACGTATTTATTCAATCCTTCCCTCCACCCAAATATGAATGGTACTGATTAGGCATTCATCAGTAGTTGGCACCTTTAAAAGATCGGCAGGAGAGCCTTGACATTTTCTAAGTGTTGTTTTTGTTACCTGGGGAGGAACTGAGAAGGGTAAATATTTACTACTTTGTATTGTGTTGGCTGTTGGTTAGTACCTGTCAACATGTAGGGTCAGAAAATTCAGATAATGCTTATTCTTTCTAGGTGCCTGGTGTAAATAGTGACCCAATACTTCTGGCTCTTAAAGGTCGGGCTTACATAAACAAAGGCTTGATCGACCAAGCTTCAAAGGTTAGTATGTTGTTGTTTGTGTGAAGTTTTTATTTTTCTAATCGAACTCTTTCAGCATGAAACTATAGACCACACAATATCCCTTTGCAGGTTGCACAACAGATTATGTCATCTCATCCTCACGTGGCAGAAGCCCATGCTCTTGAGGGGTTGATTCATTACACTCAAAAGAATTATCAGCAGGCAGAGAGAAGGTAAGATCTGTGTGTGTCTCTTCCTTTTTTCTCGTTTTGTTTTCCTATAAAGCATTTTCCTAACCTTTTTTTCTTTCCCCTTCTTTACTTAGTTTTCAAAGTGCTATTGAAAGAGAAGCTGAAGTGGCAGAGTATCATCACTACTTAGGACTGACTTATTGGTCCATGGGTGAAGAGACAAGAAAAGATAAAACAAAAGCTCTTAGTCAATTCTTGAAGGTAACAAAAGCATCCATAAATGTTTGTGGAATAGTCTATTGTTATACCTGAAATGGAAAATACAGTGGGTGGAATGAGTATTTACTTCGCAGTTGCTGAGTTGTGCATGGGACAAAGAAAAGAAACCAGGAGAGCCAGGAAAACTGGATATCCCTGCAAACTCTTGGAGAGGTCATTCACTGAAAGCCACCTGCCCTCCTGGAAGCTCCTAATGCTAGCCATGTTGAAGTCTTAAACAGCTGCAGCAACAACATTCTCCTCTAGGATAATTGATATCCAGCCTGAAGCATATCCTGAAATAAAGAGAAAAGCATTGGACAAAATGATCTCAGGAAAGATACAAGCTGATTAAGGAAGAGTTTGGAAAATACTGGTTTAAATGTTTGGATTTCTTATGTAGGAATTCATGTTTACACTATAGAGATTCCATTTTCTTTTCCAACCCAGAACTTTCAGCACTGGTACAGTACTCCAAGGATGAAGGCTGGATTTAAATTATTAACCCTAATATTGGTTGAAAAGCAGCATTTAAAAAAATCAAGAGTTTTTTTTTTACATTGCATGCTGACCTGATATGGTATCTGCCAGAGCATAACTTCTAAAGCTTGCTCATTCCACAGTTCAATTGATAATCCTTATATCTATGGGTGGGGAAAAAGGGCTGGCAGAAGTGTTGATATGCTTCTTTGTTGATCAATTTGACCGGTAAGGGGTGAGAATATGACATTTCTACTTACGGTCCCCAGGTTGTTAACCCTGGATTACATTGCATGTGCCCACAAGAAGTAATGCCTGAACATTTATAATGTTGGTCTTCGTTCATCATCACAAAACTATAGTTCAGTTGCTAGCAAGTTGTGGCCTTTCAGAGTTAAACCAGCAGGGTATACTTTAAGGATTTAACAGTGTAGATTTAAATTTCAGCATGACTTGGACTGAAGTTCTGTACAATGTAATACAGTAAAACTATGCATTGTATATGAAAATGACAGGTTTATATACTTTTTAAGCTTGTTGCTATAGAAAAAATCATTTTGTGCAACTAATAATTCCGGATTAACTTGTCCTTCAGAATTGGCTTGTTGACGTTGCACATGAAACAGAACAACTAGGCTATCTTAGTGCTGTCACTAAATAGCTCTGATCTGAAGTACAGGCTTCCCTCTTCTTCTTCTTCTTTTTTTTTTTTAATGTGGTACATGAGTTCCCAGATAACAGCGCATAAATTGAATTCTCATAAAGCGAACCCATTTTACAGTGTAACAAATAGGGATAGGTTTCCATGGTGGTGAGGGGAGGGAGTGAGGCTGGGACTAAGGAAGGGGCAGAGGGAGGGGTGCTGCTCCTGGGGCTGCACAAGGCAGCAAAGCAGAGGGAACAGAGCGGCACTCATCCCAGTCCTGGGGGTGGCTGGCACCAGCTGCCTACGTGCTCTGCCTGGGCTGCGCCTGTCCCCACTCACCTCTGCTTCTGGGCTGCGCTGTGCCCTGGTGCAGGCAACTGGTGTCTGCTACTCCCAGAGGCACTCCAGCATCGGCTGGGACAAGCGGAGCCCTGGGTGGCACGGGGTATGGCACTCACCCCAGCTCCAGCGGCTCCGGGAGTGGCTGGTGCCAGCTACCTGCAGCCGCTGGGCTGCACCGTGCTGCGCCTATCCTCCACTGTGCATGGGCTCCGCTTGTCCCCACTCATCTCTGCTACCAGGATACAGTGCAGCCCCGGAGCAGAGGTGAGTGGGGACAAGCGGAGCCCAGGTGCGGGGGAACAGGTGGAGCATGGTGAAACCCAGTGGCTGCTGGCACTGGCCACTCCTGGGGCTGCTGCAGCTGGGGCTGGGGTGAATGGAGCCATGGCTGTTTCCCCTCCCTCCACAGAGCTGCTTGGGTAGGGGGGGCATCTATGCTGATCGCATAAGAGCAAATAGACCCATGATTCGTTATATGCAAGGTAAAAGTATGCTTATCACATAAGAGTGAATTTACATATAAAGAACACGCATAAATTGAGGGAAACCTGTAGTCTCACACCTTGCTGCCTACTGAGTTTTTTTTCTTGTAATGTGGGGAATTCACAAGTGACTTGCTTGGTAGCACACTGCTATTTAAGTGTATGCATTATATATGTTGAACATGCCAAATAGGGATAGGTTCCCATGGTGGTCCCTATTTGGCATTATGTTGTTGAACATGTTCTATATTAGAATCCTGCTTCAAAATGTGCTGTTTGTGTATAATTGTTTATAGGCTGCAAAATTGGACAGCTACATGGGAAGTGTTTTCTGCTATTTAGGCCATTACTACAGAGATGTAGCGGGAGACAAAAACAGAGCTCGTGGCTGCTATAAAAAGGCTTTTGAATTGAATCGAAGTGATGGAGAAGCTGGATCAGCAGCTGTAGACTTAAGTATGGAACTTGGAGACACGGTATTGTATATCCAACCTCTTTTTGGAACATTTTTTTTTCTAATGTGAAGTGACTCTGAAAAGAACAGCTCCCTATTGTCAAAAATATAAAGATTTTTGGAATTGTTTTTATACACACCTGCACCCCCATTGCTTACTAATGCTATAGTTCTAAGCATGCTTGAAACCTCCACTTAAATTCAAATTTATATTAAGTCTGAAAGCAGTCGG